AGAGCACTTTCCTTCTCATGTTTGAGGGAGCAGGACAGGGTCACTGATTTGCTTTGGTGAACTGACCTATGGGGTAGGGTCTGGCAGGCTGGATTTGACTTTTGGGGTGTGTTGGATACCCTGCAGAAGGCAGTCTTATCTAGCCATTCCCGCCAGTAGTTTGTTGACTGTAATACCTTATTGAAATACAAAGATAAAGCATCGCTATGATCACTGGTTAACATGCACACCTGCTCGTACGCACTTGTTACCCTGTTATTACTGTGAAAACTGTTAGGGTATGGGTTCTTATACAGAGCTTCTGCTCTTAGAGGTGAGAGCTGGCAAAAGATTGTGTTAACACTTAGGACAATTCTTCAAACATGGTCTACGAAGTGTTTTGTGGGTTTATTGTTGGGGGAGCAGAGAATTCCTCTATGTGTGTTTATATGCATGTGGTACTTTCTTAATGAGCTAGCCGTTTTTTTCAGTGAAAAAGTTGTTGAGATGATTCCAACACAAGATGTAAGAGACTGGGAATGTGTTCTTGTCTAGCTCTAAGAAATTGAAAAGTAACTTTGTTTAGAATAATGTTGACAAATACTCAGTTTCTGGGAAGGGAAACAAGATAATATAGTTGTCTGATGAAATTCATGTTTTACTGGCGTATGAAATAGCTTTGAAACTCAAGATCTCTTAAAAGTTAGAAAAATAGAGAGCTGACACAGGTTTTGATGAAATTTATTGTAAATATATTTTGTGGAGGGTAGCCCATGCTTTCTTTACACTCTATGTGCAGGTAATTAATTAGAGGTAATCAGCCTCGGATGGCTTGAAGTTTAACGCAGGTACTTGAATGGGAAAGTACTTCGGTTGATTCCTAAATAAAATGTGCTTTGAGAAATCACTTTTTTTCATATTTTCTCTACCTACTTGCCCACTACTGCCCTGCAAGTAGTACTCTGCTCCGTGAAGTTCCTGATTTAACAGACACTGGTCTATTTGGCAGAGTGATTAGCAGGTGAAACCAATGCTTATCTTAAGAGACCAGTAGCAGAAGTGGGTAAGCCCATCATCTTTGGGGTCCGAGAATATAGGTTAAGTAAAATACCTCTGAACTTTTCTTTCCTCTTTTGAAGAAAGACAGTGAAAGCAAACTCTTGGCAGAGAATCATCACCAACTGCTGCACTGCATTCAGTATGGGTTTATCACTTCATTGAAAAACCCAAACAAACAACAAAGGTGCTTGACACACTTTAAAAATACATCTCTAATTTTCAGAAAATTTTGCCCTTGTCCATTAAAACTTGTTTTAGTGTTCTCAGTGCATGTTTCCTCTGATGGTCAGAGACTTCTGCCTGGCAAAATGGCCACGCTGACTGGTTTGTTAAGGCATGTCCAGACAGGCATGGCATTGCCTGAAAACTCTTGGGGGTATTGCCTGGTAATGTCCTGTCACCTCTGATGCTTTCTTCCTGATAGCCTGCAGAGGAGTAAATGCAGGTTCTAGCATGAAGGTTGTCCCTCTAAGTTGTTTCATCCTGCAGATAACTCTGGGCTTCACTGATTTAATTCCACTCAGTCGTTCTCCCAACTGCTTTTGTGAACCACAGCTCTGCCTGTTCCCAACCATTTGATCTAACAGGCTGTGATGAGGGTTTGGTACTTGAAAAACTTCTTTCTTGGAACTGATGGCAGTGGCTAATCAATGATTCATAAACACTTTCTTCAAAGTAGTGTTTAATCTTCTCCCCAGGCAGCGTTTAGTACGTAGAAGGAAAGGTGAGTTCTCACCTTTGGTCTGCCCACGCAAGATCCACTTTGCCCAGGGTAACCGTCGCTGGCCGCACAAAGCGGGTAAGGCACAAGGTGGCCCACCCAGTCTGGGTGTCAGCCTGGGGACTGAAAAAATCCTTCCTTCCCCAAACACCTCTACGCTTCACGGTAACGTCTTTCAAGCTTGTGTTCTTTCGGCTTGTAGTTTTGGTAAACATCCCCATGCTCCCCCTCAAATCCCAATTAACAGATTAAGTGAGGGGCAGATCAGCAGTACTGCTAAACTGGTTCCCTGCTGTTCCCTGGCAGTCTTTTGGTATTTCTTAACAGAGCATCTGATGCTTTGTTTATTTGTTCTCCGTTGTTCAGTTTTGCTGTTGGTTGGTTTTACTTTTTTAAAAATTATGCATCCAGGCATATTAAAAAATAAAACAGGCGGCTCCTCAGTGCAGGCTCCCAGTATGATATCGAACTATTCAAAGTTCTTGCTTTCTCCCAGTTTGCTCAATCTAAAAATTTGATTGGCTTAGTAAATTGATGCCAAAAAAAGTGAGATGCAAATCCGTTCCTCAGAGGTGTATCAGGAGCTTGGGAAAATCAGTTATCTGGTCCTAGTGCTGTAACGAGAAACTTTACAAAAAGCTGAAGCTATTCGGAAGGATCTGAGAAGCATACTCATGTAAAATCATGGTTTCTGTTAGAACCTGCAATAGAAAATAAATGCCACGCAGCAGGTGGGAGCAGCCTCCGAAGTACAAATGCCTTGGGTAGAACAGGCTCGGAGGCGAGGCAGCAGGCCAACCTGAAAATAATTGAAAATAACCACCTTTGCTTAGAGTTAAATTCTCAGTGAATCGAGCTGATTTAGCTGTGAGACAGGAGGGGGCAGGTAACTACTGGTAGCCAGCGTGTGGTCACTGCACACTTCCTAAAGAGGGGTACTATACAGCAAGTATTTGCAGGTTTTTTCCAATTTCAAGACCCCTTCAGAGCAAACTTGGTTCAGATCTGCTGCTCCTTTGTGATTACTAGGACCCGACTGGTGTAATGGGATTGAGGAGCAGCTCAGAGATGAGACAGTCCTGTGCATCTCATGCAAATGATAAAGGAATGGGCTGTGGTTTCTTCTTGGTTTTAGCTTTGGAGAATTGAAATGGGGCAGGCAGGTTGAGTAAGGCTGAGGTAAGCTGTTCTGGCACTTTCAGGATATAGTTCTGTAGAAAATCCATCCTGTATTTGGGTAGTAGCTTCAGTTACCACTGAATAGGGTGTGCTTCCAGAAATAATGGTAATAGAAGTACTAATATTTGCTTTACGAAAAAGGGGTGTTCACATGTATCCTTCCAGGAATTTTATTCTGTGCAGAGTATAAAAACAAACTGTAAACCTGTGAACAAAATTTATGTAAACACATTTTCCACAATACATGTGATTCCTGCTTAAAAAAAAATACGGGGCAAACAAGTTCTGTTACCTTAAATTTAGGGTGGCTGTTTATTACTAGTTTTCATTTATGGAAAGTACTCATTAAGTACTGAAGATTGCCATAAATAAATACAAGTTTTATTTGGAAAGAAAAGTCACTTACAAGAGGCCGCTGAATTGTATTTGTGATTGTTCTTGAGTGTCTCAATGATCCATATCTTGCAGGAGAGCTGTTAAATGATTGTTTCTTCTTGTCACAGTAGATCTGTTAGTAGAGATCCATTAAGGGAGCTGATTATATAGCATCTGCCTCCTCATCTGACAAAAACTGAGAATTAGTTTTGTTTTCAAGGTTTTATCCATTCGTGGTTCAGAGCGATTCCTGTGTCAGCAAGCTTTAATGTGGAAGGGCTAATTGGTATTGCAAGTGAGTGAGCAGAGGTACCAGAAAGGCAGGAGGGAAAGAATCCACTGAGGATCATGGCGATGCACCGAGAATTTTTCTTCCCTTAGGAATAATACTCATTCACATTGTGACTGAATTCTATGTTGTCTTGCAGTGTCGTCTTACCAATGTTTGCATAAAACTTGTTTCTAAGTGTGTTGCCCATCCCCGGTGGAAGAGTTCCAACATAACTAGTGGTGTGCAATCCCATCTTTTCAGTAAGACAGCTAATGCTGTTCTGTCACGAGTAAAAATATCTTATGGTGAGGCACTCAAACCTTGCAGGAAGATTGGAGACTTCTGATGTTGCTTTAGCGGTAGCAGGAGGTGTTTAAAGCGGCTTTCTCTACTGAGAGAGAAAATGATGTGCGGCAAAAACAATTGACTTTCATCTGGTTTGATCAGGGTTCATTTAACTTCTTTTTAGCAACCTAATGGAGCTGCTTAAGTGAGAAGCTGTGCTTTTGGCAGGAACCTGTCTAAAGATGATGGCAAACCCAACTGAAATGGGAGTCAGCCCAGTAACCCTCTGACAGGCCTGCTGCCTTTCGTTAGTGATGTACAAAGGCTGACTAATTACCTGGCTGTAGCTAGATGGGGTCAATCTGGGCGTGTGACTCAATTTCTGGTGGGCAGGAGAAATTGCAGTGCTCTGTTAGGTGATAATCCATAACAAAATTGCTTTATTTGCTACTAGAAAGTTCTTCAGAGTTGGTGAGTTGACTGAAACCCTTCAGCTTTGCGCTTCGATGGGGAGTGAGCGCATGGTTGTGGGGATTGTAGTTCTTCAGTCACATCTGTTGGTATTAAATATAGAAGGCACCCATGAAAGATGTGTGAAGAAAGTGGTGCTTTAAAAGCAAGTTTAGTTGCTTACCCTCCCTTGAGAAATCCTGGGATTGTTTGTTTGAATCTATTTTAGTCCCAGGTGGCTAGGTGCTCTTTCAGGACTGAGTTATGCCCGTGTGGACAACTAACACATTGGTGCTAATAACTGAGCACTCATGGTGTCCTAGGTACTCCCAAATCAAAGGAGAAGATCCTGAAGAAAGTTATAACATGACTGGCGTGATCAAGGTGGTAGTTTGCAAAGGTGATGCCGAAGTAATGTCGTTGGTGTTACCGTATGATGCATAGGCACTTGCTTTTATAAAGTATTGCATGAGGATTCAGCCTGCAGATTTTGAGTACGAGTGGTCATTAATGTGTGACATCTGGCTTGTCTAAATACCAAAGCCATCGTCCTCTTCTAAAGTTTAATTTTCAGATGCATTGTTTAACGAACACAGTAATAAGGATATGAAAGTATGGAATTTTTTTTTTTCCTCCACACTTAAAAAGGGTGAACAAAATATATGAATTACTTTTTTTTAGGAGAATTACTGAAGTTTGGATTGCTATCTTGATACTATAAACCTGCAATAAGTGGCAATGTCAAGGGTTCCCACCCCACCTCCTCCTGGGGAGATGTCCAGTGGACCTGTGGCTGAAAGCTGGTGTTACACACAGGTAATCTACATAAATTCCAATGGTTTTGTTTTCTAGTCATAATAATAATACTAAGAAAAACCCCCCACCTAAAATATTGAATTGTGCTTACAGTCTGTCTAGTTCTCATAATTAATGCTTGATATGTAAGTTAAATTTTATTGACATTTTCTACGTCTCTTATTCAGGTTAAAGTAGTAAAATTTTCCTACATGTGGACCATTAATAACTTCAGTTTTTGCCGAGAAGAAATGGGTGAAGTTTTAAAGAGTTCTACCTTTTCATCAGGGCCAAATGACAAAATGAAGTGGTAAGGCCTCTATTCTAGAAACTGCTTTGGGTTTGGGGTTTTTTTCCACTTGCTAAAGTTGCAAAGTTAAATTGCAAATAAATATTAAAACTCTGACATTTCTTAAAGTTTTACTGTAGGTGCAGATGGGTTCCAATTTCACAGATTCAACAGTCATAAGGGAAACATTTATTTTGGTAGCATGTATCTTTGTATCTTAGAAAAATATTTCTGGATTTATTCTGAGTATGATTTTAAAATGTCCGATTTGTGCATTTCTTTCAGGTGCCTGAGAGTGAATCCAAAGGGACTAGATGATGAAAGCAAAGACTACCTGTCATTATATTTGCTTTTAGTCAGTTGTCCAAAAAGTGAAGTCAGAGCAAAATTCAAATTTTCCCTGCTGAATGCTAAAAGAGAAGAAACAAAAGCAATGGGTAAGGGAGTCTTAATGTATTGTATGTGGATTTGTAAGAACATACCAAAGGAAATCAGTGTTGTAATTTTTTTCAGTTGAGAACAGCATTTAATATTGAGATAAACTTTAAAATGTCTTTTTGATATCCTTTTAGAAACTTAATTAAAAATCTTGTTCATGTTTCACACACTTGTGATTGCTGAGCTATGTTAATTCCATCCTGAGCAGTATAAATTACAGCACATTCCTAACTGCTGTCACTCCAGATTCTTGTCACTTAGTTTTTCTAGCAGATTATTCTTGCTTCCCGTTAGTAGGGGTGTATTTGCTTGTTTCTAGCTATGGAGGAAGTAAGTGTTTGATTTCCATCGTTAATTAGGATAAACATGCATGGTTGCTTTTTTAGACACTCCTCTACAATGTTTTGGTCTATTTCATCTGATTTACACTGTAATCAGTTTAAAAAACATGAGCCATGTGCCCAAGGAATTAGAAGACTTTGAAATAATTGGTGATTTGATTAATTGCCTTCTTGATATGAAAAATGTATGGCTTTGAAATTCAAACTTAGAAGCACAATCTTCCTTGAAAACACTTTTTGGGAAACCTGGAATCCTCATGAAAATCTGTAATTTAATGCTGGTCTGCACTAAGTTTGCTGTTGCTAGTCAGGTGTATGAAGAATCTGTCTACTTTTTTCCCCTACTCATGCTCCAGGAGTTAAGAGATCTTTAAGGGTCTGTTCTATTGCAAGTTCTGAATTTCTTGGAAAAATCTATAGTTCTCCAGTACTCATACCCACAGTTCATGCTACTTTCCTCCTAGGCCCACGTGTAATCTTTAAAGTAAATCCACTAAACTGAGTTCAAATCTAAAAATTAAATGGTTGGACTTTCTGGAAGGAAAGTAAATGTCTATCTTGCAATCTGTTTATCCTCTTGCACTGATGGAGTTGGCTGCTTCAATCCCTGCAAGCCTACTGGTTCTGGAGCTTAAATGAACTTTTATATATTTGGTTGATGATAGCTTCTAGCTTGAGACAGTCTTCCAGTCTGGTAGTGGATCGGTGTATTTAATCAAATGAAACTGCCGTGTGTGCATCAAAAAATATTTTGAGATAACCATAGAATTACAGAATTGTTGAAGTTGCAAGGGACCTCTGGTGGTTGTCTAGTCCAAATCCCCTGCTGAAAGCAGGGTCTGCTAGGGCAGTTCTTTTGGGACTTTTTGTGCTTTTTTTGGCACTTGTGCTTTGAGTATCTCTGAGGATGGAGACTCCACAACTTATCTGGGCAACCTGTTCTAGTGCTTAACTAAATGTTGCTGGTCCTTTTTGCCTTAGGGCTTTGTTGCTGGCTCCCATTCTTTTGTTGTCCACCGGGACCCCAATTGCCAGTCACCTGTTTCTTCCCGATTAGTAGATTTGTACCGGAAACTTAGCACAGCATTGCTCACATTGGCCTACACTCTCATCCCAACCCATAGACTCTCAGCTGGCTCATTGTCCATCGCAGGCAGTGCTCCGCCATTCCTGTGGTTCTCATGTAAAGGGCAGCTCCCTTGCCTCACCTTCCCGGCCTGGCTACCCGAAAGAGCCTGTACCTATCGTCTGTAGCACTCCAGTCGCGCCAGCTGTCCCACCATGCCTCTGTGAGGCCAAGGAGATCGTAGCCCCGCAACTGTGCGCAGACCTCCGGTTCCTCCTCTTTCTTCTCCATGCTGTGTACATGAGTTTACGGGCGTTTCAGAGAGGAGGCACTCAGTTGTGCTGATTTCCCAGAAAATGTATGAGAGCATTCTTCATAATGCTGTTTAAACGAGGGACATGCAATGTAGGATGGATGGATTTTGAGAATCTGAGGACCTGAAGAAGTGCCAAGTGTTACTTTAAATGCTAAAAATCACAAGGTGCTAAAACCCAAAAATCCTATGAGTAAATGTCTTCAGTTTCTGGAGTAGCTATCCTATATTTGGCACTACAGGAATTATAAACATCTTTTAATTCTGGAAAATTACCAATAGAAATCTTATTTCTTGGACTTTCCAGCCATTTACCATCTGCTTCTGGAGATGTTGTGTTTTTATTTATACAGTATAATGCTGCCTGACTGTAAATTGATAATTCATGCATAGACTGCAGCTTCAAGTGATGAAGCTGTGTATAAAATAGGTAACAAACTAACATTTTAGCTTTATTAGAAAGAAGAAAATACATTTACACTTTTATGCTGCTTTATTTTTGTAGTTTTATATACTTAAATTGCTTCTGAGCATTTAATTTCCGAGGGTTAACATTGGTTCTTGCTGATAACAGTAAGAGCTACCAAGTTAACTGTAGTGTAGAGAAGTAACTTTATTTTGGACATTGTAGAAGAATGCCGTCTATCTATATAATTAGCAAATCTGGTGAATTAAAAAAAAACCAACAACCTCTCATAGCTGTGGCTAAAAGGTAAATATAAATGATATCTTTTTGTGAGCAAAGAAATAGTTACTTGAAAGCTTTTATTTCTGTTTTGTAATGCTTTTACTGTATTTCGAAATAATTTCAACCTGTGAAACAAGATTTTTCATTTCAGGAAGAAGTCAAAACAGATTGTTATGACAACTGCAGAAGTGTTGTCAGAATGCATTTGTGATGACAAATTCATTATAATGGTACTTCCCTATGAACAGTTTCTGTTTTGACACATTGGCATTCTTAAACATTAACTGAAAAACTCCTCTCTTGCTGGATAGTGCCTAAGATAACATCTAAGGAGATGATATGATTTGAATTGCAAATTGTGCTCTACTAAGTTCTGTCAAGTGTTTTATAAAATAACACTATTACAACATTAAAAAAAGTTTTAATCTGTTGTGGGTTTCCTAAAAATGTGATGCATATGATCCAAATGTGTTAAATTGATTAATTTTTTGGATTAACACCTAGCTTTAATACAGAATTTTTAGGTGTTATTTGTTAATGTTTTTATTTAACTTGCTTTATTTGTACATAACTGTTTTTTATCAGAAAGCCAAAGAGCATATCGATTTGTGCAAGGCAAGGACTGGGGTTTTAAGAAATTTATCCGAAGAGATTTTTTACTAGATGAAGCTAATGGTCTTCTACCAGATGACAAGCTTACGTTATTTTGTGAGGTGGGTATAGTTTTTTAAGTGATAAGCTCTTAAATAAAATATTTTCTGCTCTAACAAATGCTTTTATATTGATTTAAACAGTAATATGCTATTAAAGTTGTGTTCTGTAAATTATAAATACGGTAAGATGCACATTTACTTGCTTTGTCTGCATTGTATTTTGGTTCTTGATACACGTACGCTGAAGTGTAGAATAAGCCTGAATTGATCACTTGTAAGATGTTGGTCTTCTCCATGAATCTGCCAGGATTACACTAGAATTGACTGTAGAATTATTTATGCAACAGGTGACTGATACATGCTGTCTGTAGGAATAGTATTTTACTGAGGTCACTTTTATTTAAAGTAGTTGTATTTGGAATTAGAGGATTGTTTTTTCACTGGATGAGCAAAAGGAAATGTCTGTGTGCTGGTTCACATTATTAAAAAAAAAATAATCAACTAATTGTCAGAATCTGTATTCTTGTAATATCATTATTGATGGCTTGAACCAAGGCCTTTCAAGTAAATTAAACGCTTTATTTTTATAGTAACTGTTATGTTTGGTTTTCTGAACAAGTGCAAATGTCCTGTAGGACTGCTTAATACTGAGAATTAACATTGAGAGCTGTGGTATAAGTGTAACTTCATGGTGTATTATGGGTCACTTATTTTAATATCAGTTATGTTGGTAACCCAGATTGCGTAAACGTTTTACTGAATTTTAATATGACAATGTTAAAAAATGGAAACTCGACAGAGTTGCAATGTAAGTACCATATATGTTAAACATACATTGGTCAGTTATCTTTGCTGCCATAAAGTGATCAGTGGCTTAGGAGGATGATAGATGCTCTAACTGCTAATAAGTTTGCTTGGATCTATGTATTTACAGGAACTGTGTAAAACCGTCTTGGCAATATTACAATTTAATTATATGTCATTATGCTCTGTAGCAAGAATAATTGAAATGTGGCCCCTGAGACTAGATACTGCAAATATAGCGCATCTTATTTTCACTTAAGACAAGTTAAATTAGCTGCATGATAAATTTGTTATGAATACAATTATTTGGGTGATAAAAGTACATGTAACAAGTGTTTTAGGGTTCTGTAAAGATACTTTTGAGTATTTTCTAGTTTTAAGTTTTCCTGGTAATGAATACTTCGATGTAAACGAACAGCTCTTAAAATAGTGTTTGGTTTTGGACATAGGTCACTATCTAATTTTAGAGATAAAGTTTGTTTAAAAAAAAAAAAGAACAAATACTGAAATTTCAGAGAAAAATATTATTTAAATTTTGATGCTAATGTTTAAATATAACTGTTTTCCCTACCAAACTTCTCCATTTTTTAATGTGAATGGCTTTAGTGAAGTGTTTGACCTACCCTGATTATAAATGCTGAAGGAAGTACAACCTCTAGTTGTGCACAGTGGGCATGTTAAAATAACTTCTGTCTTGTTACGGGCTAACGCAAAAAAATTGGAAATCCAAACACTTTTAAAATTTGTTTGGATGTGTTCTTCTAGCTGTTCAGGCTATCGTTAGAAATACCAGGTGTTGTTTGAAGGACCTGTCTCCATAGACAAGTCTGAAGTTTTGGTACTTTCAGAACTTAACTGTAAGTTCTAATTTCTGTGTTTGCCTTCCTACTGATATGCTAGTTGGAAGACTGACCTTACCGCTGCTTAAAACTATATTGCACTTGGTTTGATAAAACTTAGCAGATATAGCAGGTATTTAGTAAAGGTCACTGAGTACCAACTGTGCTGGTTGGGTCTTCTTTTCTCCTTGTTGTGTTGCAGAAGGATTATTTAGTCTTCCTTGGGAGCAAAGATATTCCTTCTGTTTTGCCGAATGTTCTTAAGATCAGTTGGATATGTCCTTGGATTGGAAACTGAACAGTTAAGTCTGAGTCTGGTGTTGCCACCAACTGAAAAATGACCTATTGATTAAATACAACTTCATAATATTTTTTTTTTTAAACAAACTGATCTCTTTCACTTAGTTCTCCCTTTCCATATAATCTGAAATTACTGAAGCCTTGCAAATATTTTCATTTGCTAACAGAATAGCAAATTCTCTGCAGGGATGTTTTTCCTAGTGAGTGCTATCACAGATTTCTTATCTAGCTTAGGTTGAGAGCACTTACATCATCTTTACCATTAAATCACCACGGATTCAAAACCAAGAAAATGATACCATTTATCCATGTAAATTGTCATTACACAGTGAACTTGTTCAAATCCTAGTTTATACATTTTTATATACTCTTACACATGAGGGTATGCAATGGACCTGTCCCCTAAAGTATGCATGCCGTGCAAAAAGCCACATGTTGGATAATTTCCTAAGAAGAAAAGTAAATCAGACCTTGTGGAGTACCTGGAAATCCCTGCCAGATCACTACTACTCTTTAAGCTGGGTTGTTTGCTATTAGTTCTAGCATCTCATAATCATCCTGCTGTTGAGCGAAGAAATACCTTCACTCTTAAGAATGATTTTTTTTTTTTTTTTTTTTTTATAAACGCAACTCTGAGGTTCCTGAAGTACACATTTGGTATCAGGTGTTGAGACCATTGTAAAAACGGTCACTTCTAGCCTAAGATGAGTTATGTGGGATTGACTTGATTGGATTTCAGCTTGATTTAAATAAACCAAAAAAAAAAAAAAGCACTTGTACCATCTGGACAAGTGAGATATGAAATTGATATCAGACCCCTGGGTGTGTTTGTATTTAGGATCTTTAAAAGTTGTTACAACCTATAGACAGTATGTGCCAGGCCATTCAGATGCAGGAGACTTGGATTAAAATTTTGTTCAGGTAATATCTTAAAAGGATGGGTCGTAGCAAATTGTCATGTTGCACAATTATCAACGTGTATTGGAAACCATTCTAAAACAGCAGAAGCTTGGAACATCGGAGATCAGTTTAAGTACACCGAAAGAATGCGTAGATGACCTTCCTGGGCACAGTCTGTAGCCAGTAAGAGGATGCTGCGTGAACAACTTGGATCATGAACTTTGAGTCAAGTCTCTGGAGAAGCAGAACTCTCTTTTGGCAACAGAAGACTAGCTTTGCTAAGCTAAAACTCCACTTGTGTGTATGTATATCTCCTGAAGTCACTCTCTGTGTATGAAAACTGTGAAATAGAGTACACAATAGCTCTATAGGTCTTTCAGTGTTACAAATGTAGAGTCTTACTGTGAAAGTGGAATGTTGCAGTGCTTTGGATTTTTTTTTTCCTTTTAAAAGGTGGAAGAACATAAAGGAATGTATTGTAATCATGAAGGGGGTATGGGATGAAACGGAATTAGGCAGTGATTCGAATCCCCAAGCTGCTGTCTTAATTGGATCATCCTCCTCTTCTCATCTGGAGTGTAGTTTGCAGTGCTTCGACTTTCTGTGAAGCTTAGCTGTGCTATTTTTGCTTTATGCCAGATTTATTCCAGATGCTATGCCTCTGGAAGTCAAACAAAGCACTGATCTTCACAGTATCAGCATTTTCTCTTAATATATAATCCTAATTTTCTGTATTCGGGAGATACGGTGATCAAGATCTTGTAGTATGGCTCTTTTCTTCTTTACAAAGGTTTTATTCTCAGGCGTGTGCTCTCAGACAACAGAAGTAAAACCTGCTGAGCTCTTCTGTTTTCCCAACATACTGATTAAAAGGACTTAGTATGTAAAGATATCTGGAAAAAGCAAGTAAGAATGCTACTGTCCTGTTTACTTCCTATGTGAATGACTTAAAAATGGGCAATAATGGCAATATATTCACTCCAGATGCACAGATTTCACAGTTTTATTAACTAGTTCTGTACAAAAATTACATCCTGTGAGCATGCATTTCATTACTGAAGTTACGTACTACATCTTTGATTTCATTGACTTGTATTTATAAAGAAATGGCTTTTAATCTTGTTTGGAAGACAGTCAGTCCTGATTCTTGCCTCAGCTGGGCACAGTAAAAGGAAATAATGAAGGAGGTATGTCATTTGCACTTAGTTTGTGTTTAGAATCATAGAATGGTTTGGGTTGGAAGGGACCCCTAGAGGTCATCTAGTCCAACCCCCCCTGCAGTGAGCAGGCACACTGCTAACTAGATCAGGTTGCTCAGAGCCCCGTCCAACCTGGTCTACACATTACAGGTTAAGTATGAACTTACTGTAATTAAAATTGGGAATATCACACTATCCAAAATTTCTGTGGAATGTTCATGAAACTTTTCTGTGACCTTGTGATCCTGATACATTTAGAATTTTATACTGTATATATTTTACTTAAATGTGTGAAGAGTGTTGAATTGTTAATTTATCTCTGAAATAGTGTTAACTGTTTTTTGATGCCACTGGTATCCCAAGAACAGTATCTGTCCTTGAATTACTTTGGCATTTGTCAAGTGGCATGTGGTATTGTGTTCTTTTTGTTCTGTTTGGATAAATACACAGTATTAGAGTCTCTAAGTAAAGCCCTATTTGTTTTATGCTACTTAAACTGTAAAGCGTTGGTTTATGGTTCCAGCCTAATGCCAGAAACACCACTGTTTTTTGCTTTGCTTTGGAATTGCTGAAATTCTAGCAATAGGTACTGTGATTTAATTATTATTGGCATTCAGTTATGAAGGAGTTGTCTTGCTGTGATTTTCTGTTAGGTAAGCGTGGTCCAAGACTCAGTAAATATATCAGGACAGTCTAATACAAACACTTTGAAGGTACCTGAATGTCGACTAGCAGAAGATTTAGGGAATCTCTGGGAAACAACAAGATTTACAGATTGCAGTTTTTATGTAGGAGGACAAGAATTCAAAGCTCATAAATCTGTCCTTGCAGGTACTTTCTACTTTTGTATTGCTATTACTTTGTAATTAAAATTGCTAAAAGTTTAAAATTTGATTATATTTAATATTTACTTTTCTTGCTACAGCACGGTCTCCAGTTTTTAATGCAATGTTTGAACATGAAATGGAGGAAAGCAAAAAGGTAAGCCTTACTGAAAACTTTACATGTAAATATCTGTACCTTGTGAAAAAGGGAAAAGTTGCAGAAAACTTGGAAGTACTGCAAGTTGAGGAAGATGAGTACTGCACGATGCTGCGTGAGTGGAGAAGGTGCAACTCCTAAACGCTTTCCTGGTGAATTGTACGGGGGTTTCTTTGTATAGAAAGAGCAGATAGGGCTGACTATGGAGAGGTTCTGGAGGATTTGTTCTTCCAAGTACTTGTATCTGCCCCAGATCAGTTTTTTTTAACATTAGCTATGATGCAATTGACCCTGTAATCTGTGCCCCTTTTTCCTTTAGTTTATGCCTTCCTGTAAGGTGAGAGACTTGACTAAGGTTTTGCTATAGTGTATTAAAACATTATACGTGATAGCTGGGACACAAAGAAACAACAGCTGAATTATGACTCGAATTAAGCCCTGAGGCAGTGAAGCACTCCTTTTCATTCACAGATTCTGCAGGCACTTGACCTGTCTAAGTGTTTTGGATGGATAGTTACTTAATCAGCCCAGAGAGCTGCTTCTGCTTTTACACACTTGATAGCTCCCACAGCGAGGAGTTGCTCATGTCTTTCATGAAGAAGAATATCTAAAATGGGTTGGTTATAGGCAGAATCCATGAAAAAGCAAGGAGCTGATCAGCTGACTAAAGGATTGTAACAGATGATCATCACTTAGTCTTGGAGGCTGCGATGATGCCACTTGTGTGTTCACATCGGATGCATGTGGTGCTGTAGTATGGCTGAGTTTCACAAACGTGGCATTTTTCTTCCCTGCACTTGTCTGATTTGGAAACTTTCACAGGTAGAATTGGAATATTGGAAGCATTTTATTGGGATTTCTGGACTGAAAGCAACCCAGACATGTCCCAGCTTCAGTAATTGTGCCATGCTGGGGGGCCTTCACCTTCATGTTAGCAGTGAATTTCCAGTGCAGCCCTACTTCTAAATCCTGTACGTGGCTCAGTGGCTAGGAAACCAGAACATGTAAATCTCATGTGCTGATAGCCTGTGATTTTTGTACCCCATTCAAAAGTCTGATGCTTGCTTCTACATCTTTGATGTAATTCCCTATTTCATTGATTGCTTATAGCTGATACTTTTAGAGGATGGGCTCAAGCATGCAGTACCACAGATTTATTAGGAAGGCCTTTAGCTACGTGATGTTCGTTAGATTTGGTTTTGTTTTTTTTTGTTTCCTGGATTCTGAGAACAAAACAGACTGTGACTCAATTGAAGTCAAGCCAGAAATGGCTCACTTTGTTCTGTCTGCTGCTCTGACTTCTAATATTCCAAGCACATCATTGTAGGGTTGGAAACTCAGCAGCACTTTTAAATATTCCTGAAACTGTGCCTTGATTTTTATGTACAGACTGAGCAACAGAGTCCAGCATTAGACATTTCTAGAAAACAGTTGCAATTACTTCTTATTGCCTAAGCTTTTCCAACTGATTTCTACCTGACTTTAAGAGCTACTGATTTTGATTACTTTCTGCCTAATATTATTGGATGTTAACTTAAATGTGTAAGGACTTTGTATGATGGATGGCAAATGAAAACTTGTAACACGCGTGCAGGCGATGTTTGATATGTTAACTTTAAAGTTGTAGCTAAATTCCAGAGGCTTTAATTGATTCTTCTTCTTTACCAGAATCGTGTAGAAATAAATGATGTAGACCCTGAAGTTTTTAAAGAAATGATGAGATTCATTTACACAGGAAAAGCACCAAACCTTGAAAAAATGGCCGACAATTTGTTGGCAGCTGCAGACAAAGTAAGTGATTGACTCCTAAGTTCTCAAACCTGATGTTTGCTTGTGGAATGTTCCTCTAAAACAAAAAAAACCAACCCAACTTTTTTTTCAGATTGATACGTATTTTGATTTTTTTTAAAATATGAGAAGTAGATCTTAGCAGAAATGGAGGAAGCTGGGAAAGAACAGACCTTTTTTTAGCAGTAGAAAGCTGATAAATGTTTCTTCACCAGAAGTGCTTCAGATATTAATTATATTTGCTATCCAAATTTTTTTAGAGATTTGGGACCATTAATATGATTTGGAAAATTACTCTTGAATAAAATGTATCCTAGATCTTTGCATTCTTGAAGAGGATTTATACAAGTGTTTCAACTAACTGTGCTCCCTGAAGTACTTCTACTTCAGAACTTTCATCTTGTCTTCCCTACAAACGTAATAGTTCTAATCATTCATCTCTTCTGTATTGGGATCTTGTATTCTATTTAAATTGTTCCTCTGTGAAATACTTTTTCTGTTATGATTTTTGAGATTAGGGGACTTAGAACAGCACGGCAATTAAGGTGAGATTGTTCCTTTTCATACGTAATTTACAGTTTTCTAACTTCTGAAAAACTTGACCCAATACCTTGCTTTTTCTTCACTTCTTTACAGCTTGAGTTGAAATTTTAGTTAGCTATCCTCAGAGGAGACACAGTTGTCTTTCCCTGAGGAAGCATATGGAGTTTAGAATCCAGAAAAAACTCACTCTAGTGTGTGTAATCTGAAACTTTCCCCCTCAGCTGAGGGCATGGCAATTTCTTAAACTACCTTTGCAATTTCTGAATTGGTTGTGCAATCACATCCGTAAAACATTAGTGGTGAAAACTGCCTGTTCTCATAATCAATCCTAATATAAGTCATTTAGGGTAATAAAAGTCATCCCAGTAGTTAAGAAACAATTTTTTTTTTTTTCTGGCAACTTAATGTGGTTTTTTTCAAGATCTCTTGACCTGGCACTGCCCTGGCTTTGGTGACTTACCACTCTTACTCTTTTCGCCTCTTACTGCCAGCGTCTCATCTTCCAAAACTGATTATGTTTTGTCAAGTTTCAGTACACCCAAGCGGGAAGGTGAAGTGGTGTTATTTTATGAATGCTGGCTTTTACTTAGGGCATGACTGGTAAATGTAGAGAATAGTATAAGGTACAGTTGTATGTCTGTAATAGCAGGAAATAACAATGGTGAGCTAGGAGGTCCGTGTAGCTTTTTGTAACTTTCAGAGACTTTCTGCTGTTCCTTCTGAATGTGAAATAATCTAAAAATGTTCTGCGTATTACCAAAGGCATTACACTGTTGTATTACCTGGTAGGTGCAGATTTCTTATAACTGATACTTGTTTACTCTAAATAGAGGTATCCTGAGGAGTACTATAGTAGAAGAATGGAAGTAAAAATGCATAGATCTAGAAACATAGAAGTTAGCCCGATAATTTGATTTTTCTTCAATGGCATTTCTTCATTGCATAGAACAGTTGCTAATACAAATGTGTGAGTGGCAACTTGAATATGTGCCACTTATACATCTAAAATTCTTTTCAGACTTCAGAACTGTATCAGAAGTGTGCTAAACTAAATGGGATGGGTAAGATCTCAGAAATGTATGCAGCTGAATGAAATCTGTCATACTATGACATCATTCAAAAAAGAAGCACAGTTTATTAATGCAGTAATATGGGAATGTAATTATTTTACATCAATTTTCTGGTAGGCTGTGTCAAAGGTATGGAAGAAATTAAGAAATTCAGAGATGGGTGTGGGGGTAAACTTGGAACAAGCTAGTTTCAAACAGGTTAATGTATTTTCCCTTAGACAGTTTCACGGAACTTTCCATCGTATTTCTTGCCCCTGGCTTTGAGATGTAAACCTGTCTAATGATGATTTTGATAAAGAGCCTGTGTCTGTTCCTTGCTCTTCCTCCTGAACTGAAGGAAAATGGAAACTTCTAAAGGAGTTATTTTTGTTGTTTCAATAAAAGTTCTCCCAGAAAGCATTCGATCAGTTTGTGTCAAACCTAATGCATGTCTTGCCATCTGAGGACTCTTCAGTGTAGCATGCTGAATTTTGAATTACCTGTTTGGAAGCGGTTTGATCTTAAGCTTGGGAGGCACCAAGCGTTTTCATGACTGGAACTGTCGTAAAAACTGTAGAGATAACGATAGAAAGAATTAGTTTGAAGAATGATTAGTGTAGTTTTTTCTTTTATCAGTATGCACTGGAACGGCTGAAGGTCATGTGTGAGGAAGCACTCTGTAGTAACCTCTCGGTAGAAAATGTTGCTGACATTCTTATCCTCGCAGATTTGCACAGCGCTGAACAGTTAAAAGCACAAGCAATAGACTTTATTAACAGGCAAGTAATATTTATGAGACTCTAAATATATTTGTATTTATGCTTTGTGTACCTTTTCAATATTAACGCAGTTCTTTCTTACAGGTGCAGTGTTCTTAGACAACTTGGGTGTAAAGATGGGAAAAACTGGAATAGCAAGTAAGTTTCCCTGCTTCACGATGTTCTGTACAAACACTGCTAAATAGACTGCAGATCTTAAGAACTGTTGCTTCATTTCCACACTCCACACTACTGAGGCCAGTCACTGACTGTAAGTAAAGTAGGATTCAGCCAATGTTACCCCAGTTATGGTTGTGATTTCCCCTTTAAACGGTAGGGAGAGTTAACTGCCCTCCAGTGTGAGATCCTAACAGTAGCTGGCTTTTGTTCTTCTTCTAGGGACATATCGGTGCTGTGAGATGGTGGCAGCAGCCACCACAAGAGAAAGGAAACCATTCTCTTGACACACCTGGTTTGTGCCTGCAGGAGTGGCAACCCCAGTGTGGTTTCACGACTTGCTCAGGTCAATTTGAGCCTGCAGTATTTCCAAAGAAAGGAGAGCAGTTGCTCTTTTTGCCTTTGGCGACATGTTTGTACACCTTCCCACATGCCAGCACTAGTATTCCTGAGGCCGCACAACTAGTCAGTCAGGTCCCTCTGATCTGGCTGACTCTTAAGTGCTCATGTCTGCACTGGAAATAGGTTGAGAGTATGTGGCTCAGACTGTAGGACTGATTGCAGCATATACTTAGAACAGTTCAAGTGAATCATGGAGTAGAAGACAGCCAGCTTCAGAGTAGCCAGTGGTAAGCTGAAGCAGTAAAAGGACAGCAGAGCACGCACTTCTTACTGTCAGACTCTCCAGAGAAGTTAAAAGCTGTATTCTACCAGTTACTATAAAACTAATGTTTTTCCTTTTAAAAAAAAAAAAAAAAAAGTCTTCACAGGCCTAATGATTGAGCCTGATGTGATAAAGGAAAGGAGTGGTAGAAAGGAAATAGCAAAATACCAGTAGGAAAACTAATGAAGTCAGAATACATAACAATGTAAACTAGTTGATGTGTTCCTTCTCAAGTGATTTGGAGCTTACTGAGCTGACTTCTGCCTTGGATAACTGCTAGTAAAGATGCCAGTCATCTTTGCTTCAGCTAAAGCATCTACAGTAAATCTGCAATAAATCGAGAGAGCCTGGCTTAATTTACTGACTCTGGGCACCAGGGAGTCTGAACTTTGGTGTTGTTTCTCAAGGCACCTACCTTTAATGACTTGCAGCAGGAGTTTAAAGGCTTGCATTAGAAATCTGCAAAAGGTTTTTGAGAGATCATATAGCATAGAGGTCAGCTCCTGACTTTACGCTTGACTGTGTTCCTGAAACAGTATTGAGGGTGCTCGTGAAAGGCTTTTGAAAATGCAGGGCGATGGAAACTGGGGATTGATGCATAAACTGTTGGTTCCAAATTGCAAATTTGTCCTGTGTTGACGTGGCATGCATCCCAACCAGTGTAATATTCATGCGCAGAGTGAATTTTATGATTGTTTTATATTATTTCACAAAAAAGGAAATATATACATTGTGTAAATACATTTTTAATCTCCTGGATGTCAATGTGATCCTTGCTGAAATCTGTTGTTGCTTCTGTATTAGTTAAAAATTGACAGTGGCCACTGAAAGCCATTCTGAATGTAGTCCGTGATCTTGTACTGAAGAAAGAGTGAATGTTCTCAAGTATGCTCCACTGGTGCTCAAACTGTGAGCTTCCAGTGAAGGGTTCTGTAGTCAGCCAGCTAATCTGTCTTCATGGCTTTTTCTAGTATATGAACTAATAATTTTTGCTGCAGTTTCAGCTGATTCATCTTGTCATCCTTCTCTCTCCCCAAATTGAGCATGCCCTTCTATGTAATGAGATTATCGTGTCTTCCCTTCCTTTTCATCTCTACACTAGACCTCATTTTCTTCTAGTTTTCCTCTTATTTTTATTGTTTTTCCTGAGCAATTTCAAGGTGGTTATCTTACACGGCACACAGTATTGGACATAGTTCTCTAGCTGAGGTCTTGCTGGTACTGAGTACCCTATATCCTACACGTGATGATGTTAATATACCCAAATTACAATTTGCTGCTGCTTTCCAACAGCATCGTTCCTGGCATTCGTAAAGTTTGTCTCTTAATGCTCAACTGCTCTCCTGCAGTAGTTCTGCCTTGCCTGCTCTTCTCCACTGTGCGTTTGTGCATTTGGTTTGTAAAATTATGTGACTATTCTTAATACTTCTGTTTTCAGCCAAGCAACAGATATAATGGAAACAGCAGGCTGGAAGTCCATGATCCACTCCCACCCTCACTTAGTAGCAGAGGCCTTTCGCGCACTAGCATCTGCACAGTGTCCACAGTTTGGCATTCCACGCAAACGGCTAAAACAGTCATGAAATCTTCCATGAACTTTAGAGAAATTGAATTGACTCTACTCCTCCATGTCCAGAGGTGTTTTCACAAACCATAACAAGAGTTTTTGTTATCCTTGTCCACAGAACAGAAGCTGAAAAAGCCTATTGTTTGCTTTTCAGATGGATAATTTATGGTTTAATCCTCAGCTTTAAATTAGACTGATTACTCTAATTCACTGAAAGGCCTTAAATTATCTTCAATGACTCTCTAGTCCATATAGTCTAATGTATCTTGATTTTTTTATTATTATTTTTTAATGTGCCTTGTCTTTTTGACTAGGCTCTGCAGGATTGCACTAGCTCCATAATGCAGTAAAGTTGATAACTGAAGATTAATTTTTGAAAGGGATCTTCCATTATTTTCAGAAGAAAAAGAAATGATTATAGTTTGGTCCTGTGCTAACTGGAAGGTTTTAACTAGCCTCTCATTAAAAGCGCTTGAACCAGAGGCACGCGATGTACCCTAGACAAGTGCTAATGTAGGGAGAGCCTGTTTACCTTCAGCAAATGCCTACAGGCTATTTATGGCAATATACTGCTTTGAACATAATTTATTTTTCATTGTGGGGGCAAATATGCAATGGTTTGGCCCAAAAAAATGTATTTTCATTACAGTTTGTAATGCTTATTGTGTGTGTGTCAAAGCTGTCCAAATGGTAAAAAGAAACACAGAATAAACCTCTTGCTTGTGTTTCTTTACGGTCCATCATTAGTTTACATTTAATGCAGAACTGAATGAGAGGCAAAGAGTTCAATGTGAAAACAGAATAGTATTGTATATGGAAAAAAATATATCCCACGTGTATGGTTACATAGAAAAGTAAAGGATGCATAGTATGACCAAATGTAAATTGAAGAAATGGGCCAAATGGATTCTGAATATGCACTTTTAATGTGTAACTTTTGTATGTTGTGTGGTACATATATATTTTGCTTTTGATGAATTAATGAGGTACAGGTAATTGTGGCTTAACTTTTTAGATACATTTTAAGATGCCCACAGCCACATGGGATTTAGTTTTGTTAGAAAAGAAAGGCATGTCTTTTTAAGACTCAATCGAAGGTGGCTATCGCAAGCTTTCATATTTAAGTAACAGAATATTTTTGCTTATTTGGAAAAGGCATGTGAATGGTAAAATTTTGAAGGGATTTTTCCCATCTTGACGTATGCGCGCAGCTTCCATTAACACCTACGGAGGTTATGTACACATCAAGAGGAATATTTCCCTGAAATGTCAGATGGTATTTGCAAGCAGAGACTTGCTCAGTCTTGCATTTCAGTTATTGTACTAGCATTGTGGATGGTATTGAAATTCTGCATAATGTGAAAAGGATGAAACATTTGTAAACTGCTTGTCATGGGCCAGTTCTTTATTATATGAACCTTAGCTTTAATACCAACATCCTCGGTGTTTGATAGCTTTGTTTACAATTGGGAGGAAAAGTCTGCAGTAGTGCACACTCTAAATGTTTCCTGAGTTATTGCATTGAGTTTACTGTAATAGTGATAATATGCTATATTTCTTTTTTTGGGAAGACTCGGGTTTAGCAGTGGGGAATGGGAGGAGATCTTACCTAATTTATAAACACATTTGCATATGGGTTTTAGTTTGCCTATTAAAAAAAAAAAACGTTATGCAGGGAGGAGAGAGGAAGAATTTCAGGTTGTTTACTATCTCAAAGTCTATCTCCATCCTCATTTCATTAAGATTCACCTGAATTGCTCTGAACGAAATTTTTAGAGGAAAGAGTATATAGTTTTATACTTTGGCATCCGGTAAACCATTAGCAAAGGTAAATTGGAAAAAATGCCCACTAAAATAATAATGCCCAGTCCAATTAATAAATAACCTCTGAACATGCATTTTCTTACCTTCTCACTGAATCTTTACGATGGATAAAGTGTAAAATCAGAAACTTTAATAATACGTAAGGCATCAAATTATATATTTAGAGACTTATCCTTTTATCAATTTTAAAATATTTATCTGAAATAAGGTCTCATAAGTGTTCTTCACGATAAGACGTAAAGGTAATTATTCCCTCCAAAATAGTGATGTTTTTGCTGCACTGTGTAACGCGTTAGGACTATATATCCTCATACTCATCACTGGTAAAACTTGCAGCTCTAACATACAAAATGACTTGAATGTTTAATGCTGTGATAATTGTCCAGTTCAGCTTGTTCTAAAGTAACAACACACAGTAATCTAATGGAAAGATTAAGGACTTTTATGAAGGCTTTTTTTTTATTTAAGAAGCTTAATACACTTTGTACCAAAAAATGTCAGACACTGTGCTGTAATATTATCTACATCGTAGAGTGTCCGCTTTTCAAGTCAGGCAGTGTATACCACACATTACACTAACAGGAAAAAAAAAAACCCACCATGATAATTGATCTGTTTAGGTTTGATTTTATTTATTATGTATGTTTTCAAGTTTTGTCAGCTCTTAAGAAAAAGGTAAAACAGTTGCTGTATTCTTAAGTGAGTGCACTAATTGACCTCTTCTGTTCTTTAATTAACTACATGCAGTGTTCTCACTGGAACAGGATAGCTGGTAATGACAACCTTCTCCTTTGGATTCAGTAGCTTGTCTTTATGCCCCACATCTCAAGAGCTTGCCCTTCAAAAACCTCAGTTGTCAGTTCGAAGTGCAGCAGATAGAAAACGATCTAAAACAATAGACGGTTTTTTCAGGCTGAAATCTTAGGGGTTTTTTCTTAGTTTTATATACAGATTTAGGAATATAATGTATGAAGGTGCCATGTTTTGGCTTGCCAACACTACTCCCTCAGATCTGTGTGAACCATCGCTTCCGTACTTTTCTGGGGAGAACCCTGCATGTGTCCTGTGTGTGCGTGCGCGTGTGTGTATGACTGTGCGGTGTTTTTTTGTCAAGAATGACTTTCTAAAAATAAGGACTCAATTTGCTGTTAAAATGCTATTATGTATTATACTTTTTTTTTTCCTCCATTTGAACCTCTCCTAAGGAGATGCTTTGGGTGGAAGATGCTTCAATAAATAATCCTTATTTCCTAGTCCATTTACTGCATGCAGAAGTATGAACACATTGTGCCTTTTTTGGGAAACTGTTGTAATGAAGGGAAGATTTAACAGGATACAAGATCTTTTTGAAAGGTATTTTTAAAGGTGAAGGAGAATGCTATTTGATACACAATTGAGGGGGAAAAGTTACAAATTACACATTTGAGCTCTGCATGTTGATTCTTGCTTCCAAAATTCAGTTTCACTGGGGTAGAAACAATGCAAAAAAGTGGAGTAAGTATTACAGGTACAAGTTGAGTAATGGTATATTTTTGTGAAAATGTGAAAATATTTGCTGTTACAAGATAAGTGTTTGTCAAAATGTGATAATCATGGACACAGTTAGTTTTACAAGTTACTCTAGTTCTGATGTTTTTCTAAACATTGAGTATTTAGTATAAAATTCACCTTTGCACACGAGGTCAGCAGAAGACCTACATGGAGATTATGTTCCTTTTAAATCCTCACGGAAAGGTTCTTCCCTTGGGAGGATAAAATGACATGCAGTATTTGAAACTGTGTTTCATAAAAGACAGTGGATTGCAATTGTGAGGTATTGCTACCTGAAATATTGTTGAACTTCGAATTTTACAGTTGGATAAAATTCCTAAGCTTAACTGATATTTCTTTTCTTTTTGCATTTGACAAATGGAATGTTAACTGTCCTCTTTGTCTGCTGTCGATAGCATATTCAGTGCAGAGCTAGCTCCTTAGCTAGCAAGACACTGACTTAGTCTCATAACTTGGCTTCTGCTTACAGTAAATGGACTACACTTGTAAAGGGAATTCACTATTTCAAGTGTTCGGCGAGGAACTTCACTGTATTTGTAACCTGGTTTTTGAAGGCTTAAGATCAATGAGTCCTATTTTAGAAATTAAACCAGTGGAATGACTTAGACCTGGTTTGGGGTGGAAATGATTAAGAGAATTCTGATATGTAAACAGTTGTATCAAACCATCCAGCCTTTTTTTATCAGCTGATGTTAATGGTGAAATACTTTTTGTACCTTGTTGCTGAAAATATTTTTGCGTTTCAGCACATCAAGTTACAATAAAGTTGTTACTTATACAGAACGTGTCTGCGTGGCTTGTATTTGGTTTTTTCCTGTGTATGTTCACAGTGGCTACTTTTGCTTCTCTCCTTTGAGAACAGTATTTTACCAGCGCTGTCCATCAGTCTAGGGTAAAATACACCGCTGTCCTGTTGGAAATGTTTTTGGGGAGGATCACGTTGCAGCCTTGCTCTGATCTCCACTAACTTAGTTATTTTTCCATTTTGACACTTTCAAATAACTTAGAGCTCCGAATAGTATTTTGCAAAGATCTGTAAGGCTGTTGATATGCTGCTTGGATGACTTTGGATGCACTGAACTCCAGAAACGATGACATCCAGGTAAGTTACTTTGTACGAAGTGATGCGGGCCATTTGAACAAACACAGTGACCTGTCTGGTGTTACCTAGGCTACGGTGAGAATGTGGCACAGTCGACCACTGCAGTTCTTCCGAAGATGATGGGTAACAAATAAGGATACAGGGCTGTCTCAGTCTAGCATGTTGCTGGTTTGTGTAGGCACATGCAAAATTCTGTGTTTGCTTAAAACATGCATCCCTTAAGTCACTCAGCAACGGTTCAGCTGAAAGTTCCTCGTGGGGCTTATACTGACAGTGGCAGAACTTAGACCTTCACTGACAGCTTCAGTAACCTGGTTACCACTGTGGGTATCAGAATTATTTGTGCAAGTCCAAATTTTTGAACAGAGTCCACTTTTAGGTAAAGAATATTAAACTTCATTATTTTTTTTTAGAAGGCTATATTTTTATCCTTAGACTCTCTGAAGTAATTTCTCATCTGTTTACCTTGTCATCATACAGAAACTTCCTTCTAAAATTTTCCTTCTAAAATGAATTCTGATAACCTTTTATGTGGAAACTGGGCTCATAAATAAAGCTTTTCCTACTTTCAGCTGAATGCGTCTGTGAGGGGAAAAAAAAAAAAGTATTTTATGATGTCAATCTCTCTGAATCTTGGTTTAACTAAAACATTACTAGTAGCTCTTTCTTTAGCAGCTTTCTGAGAATTCTTATTTGAAGTCCTTTCTCTTTCTTTAAAAGGGGAAAGCCCACATAATGAATGTTGATTGGCAAGATACGCTATTAGAGTAGAAAGCATCTCTCGCTATGCAGAATTGCCAGCCCTGCCATACGCTGAAGGCGCAGCTTGGCGTCCTACCGAGCAGTGCCAGCTTAAGCAGTCCCCATTACTGCCACTGGAAGAAAAGTCTTTCAAAGTGCAGCTGAAGTGTCGCAGGTGAGAAACGCCCACCGAAGTGTAAGCCGTTGTGCCGCTGCTCCAAAACTCGTCGTTGTTACTGATTAACCGTGGCAGCTTGCATCTTAGCTTTACCATGAGAAATTCTGATTTATTCTACAATATTACCTAACTTATGGTTTTACTTAGCTAAACTTACTGATTTTTTTTTATGATGTTCTATGTGGAAGGATACAACCTTTTAATATTATATGTTTCAGATTACTTCTATTACAATTACTGTTTGAGTGTTACACATTCCCTTACAAATTTTACCTGCTGTGTTTATTAACTAAATTATATTAATGATCAAACTACTTGCGTTATACGTGAATAATGTTGCACTGAACATTGTGATAGTATGGTAACAGAGGAAATGCCGTTAATTGCTGTTAAAATTACAGTGGTTTTGAACAGTGTCGTTCTGTGAACTTGGTAATTTTCCACTAGAGGAGCATGTTTTTATTGTCATCTATTTTGAAGATTCCTTCTTTATTCTCTCAGAGAAAGCTGGAAGGAATACAAGTGCAGGAGCTGAATGAAGCGTTTCAGCTGTAGGATGCAAAGGACTTGCTTTTCCCACTGCAAGCACTGCATCTAGGCAAAAAAAAAAAAAAAAATCAGAATTATTTGTGCAAGTCCAAATTTTTGAACAGAGTCCACTTTTAGGTAAAGAATATTAAACTTCATTATTTTTTTTTAGAAGGCTATATTTTTATCCTTAGACTCTCTGAAGTAATTTCTCATCTGTTTACCTTGTCATCATACAGAAACTTCCTTCTAAAATTTTCCTTCTAAAATGAATTCTGATAACCTTTTATGTGGAAACTGGGCTCATAAATAAAGCTTTTCCTACTTTCAGCTGAATGCGTCTGTGAGGGGAAAAAAAAAAAAGTATTTTATGATGTCAATCTCTCTGAATCTTGGTTTAACTAAAACATTACTAGTAGCTCTTTCTTTAGCAGCTTTCTGAGAATTCTTATTTGAAGTCCTTTCTCTTTCTTTAAAAGGGGAAAGCCCACATAATGAATGTTGATTGGCAAGATACGCTATTAGAGTAGAAAGCATCTCTCGCTATGCAGAATTGCCAGCCCTGCCATACGCTGAAGGCGCAGCTTGGCGTCCTACCGAGCAGTGCCAGCTTAAGCAGTCCCCATTACTGCCACTGGAAGAAAAGTCTTTCAAAGTGCAGCTGAAGTGTCGCAGGTGAGAAACGCCCACCGAAGTGTAAGCCGTTGTGCCGCTGCTCCAAAACTCGTCGTTGTTACTGATTAACCGTGGCAGCTTGCATCTTAGCTTTACCATGAGAAATTCTGATTTATTCTACAATATTACCTAACTTATGGTTTTACTTAGCTAAACTTACTGATTTTTTTTTTATGATGTTCTATGTGGAAGGATACAACCTTTTAATATTATATGTTTCAGATTACTTCTATTACAATTACTGTTTGAGTGTTACACATTCCCTTACAAATTTTACCTGCTGTGTTTATTAACTAAATTATATTAATGATCAAACTACTTGCGTTATACGTGAATAATGTTGCACTGAACATTGTGATAGTATGGTAACAGAGGAAATGCCGTTAATTGCTGTTAAAATTACAGTGGTTTTGAACAGTGTCGTTCTGTGAACTTGGTAATTTTCCACTAGAGGAGCATGTTTTTATTGTCATCTATTTTGAAGATTCCTTCTTTATTCTCTCAGAGAAAGCTGGAAGGAATACAAGTGCAGGAGCTGAATGAAGCGTTTCAGCTGTAGGATGCAAAGGACTTGCTTTTCCCACTGCAAGCACTGCATCTAGGCAAAAAAAAAAAAAAAAAATCCTCCCAGGCTCAGCTGTGACAATTCATAAGTGCTTTGGGATAGAGATGGCATGCCGGT